ACAAATACCATAAGAATCGCCGGCAGCATACAATTAACTGAGGACTGGAGCCCCACACAGTGACAGGTTATGCAGAAGGGCCGGACAGTCCCTGCAGCAAGAACCGTTCCTTTTGTCGTATTACAGCTCGCAGTAGAAATGTAAACCTGAAACGCTCTTGAAATTTGGGCAAAATGAAGATGGAAATCTTCTTTGATCCGGAACTCGATAATGGACTCCCCATTCCGGCCCCATAAATCACTAAAATCTTGAGCACCTGACCTTGTCTCCAGTCTCTGCTGGACCAAAACGAAGTGACTGGTATGAACCAGTGAGTAACTAGCCCACGATCTTCCAGTGGGCCATGTACAGTTGCAGCAAAGATTAACTGTGGAATCTGAAAACAGAAGTACATTAACTCCAGACAGATAAACGCCTACAGTCCAGCGAATGACTTGCTGAAATTTTAGATCAATTAGCGACTTCTTCAATACATGAAGTTTCAAACGATTAAAAGTTAATTAAGCTGTGATACTTCAAGTTATAGGCCAACAGACAACTATTTGTTTCTCTACTTCTCCAGTCTGATTGCTAGGTGAACATAACGGGTTTCTTAGGGCAGATTGGATCCATTTGTACCGAATTTCGTTGGGCTGGCAGTCGTTTAATTTTTAAAGCAATAACAACGCCGAGCCATACAGACAAATTATAGAACATTTCAATGTTTATGTACTGCTCATTGTAAGAGAACCCGGTGTATGTCCTATCCGTACAAAGCTAATTTGCTGACTCTTCTTGCATCTCTTTGGTGTTCTTAACATTCGTTTCTTTAAAGCTGCAGACCACGGTAAAGGAATTCTTTAAACTATTATTTACGGGTGAAGCAGAATTTATTTCGAAGAAATATAAAATTTTGATACATTTTGTTCATATACGAGTATTTTATGAAGTAAATTGAAAAACAGTTGTCCCTGTGCTTAAATAATTAAGTCACGAAGGCGTAGGGGAGAGTTGATGTATAGATCCATGTTTTCTTGATCTCGGCACTAGTTGTAGGTAAGTGGTAACCTTCACGCCACGACTGTTTTACCCCAGGGGTAAGAGAAGCCTTATGGGCCCTAAAGCTGGTCTAGAGGACGTGGAGGGGAAAATATTCGTGACACTCCCGGGTCTCGAACTCCAACCCCTCGGTCATCCAGCCCGTAGCCAGTCCCTATACTGACTGCTCTATCGTTGCTCCTGGAAGTATGAAGGTTTTATGCCTTACAGAGGCAGCGAAAATGTACGTTTTGTGACAAAGTAGTGTCACGGTAAATGAGTTCCGAGTTTGAGAGTTACCCCCCTTCCCCACATGAGGGTTCGACAGATTCTCCATCCGTTTATTCCTTCAATTTTCTATTTGCAGCTCTTCTCTGTTTCCTTGCATTTAATTCCAGCTCTGCCTCTTCCCTTTCTGCATTTCTCACCCTATCTTTGCCCAAAGTACATTTCTCTTAAATTCTAGTAGCCCGTTTATTTTCCCAACATCCGAAATACGTACGTCATACTGGTGGAAAGAAACAGACATATGTAGCTACACTCTGTGAAATATTCCCTTAACTATCCCAAATAAATTCCGTAGGCTTTCGGAACACTTAATTCGTTGAATAATGTTAAAATCTAAATTATTCGCTGTATCGTAATATTGATATAATGATGACAAATTATAAAGGAAAATGACTTCAATTGGAGTGATATCTACATTAAACTGAAACTTAAAAAAAGAACGTTTAGTGTAAGTACCAGATGTTTTAACATTAAGATCGCCACATTTTATCCACAAAATATATTATTGTGTTTGGAATAATTCTCACAATAAACAGCGATCATTTGCTTAAATAGCACTAAGCGGTTGTTCTGTCAAATGGAGACGCTGTGTGTTTTCCGTGAGTTAAATATTATTTGTACTCGTATGCATTGTACGCTTCGTGATTTAGACGGCTCAGCCGGTTTTGGCAGACTACTCAGCTTCCTTCAGAAGTTCAACGATGCAAACTGAACTGACTTCATGGAGCTGAACCCTTCTTGAGAAGTCGCAAACTGTGCAATTTCTTCTTTTTTTTTTTTGCTATTGGGGTGGGACTAAGTCCTTTGTACTGTGGCCACTTCTGACCTATTGTACCAGCCCCAGATGATAGGTGAGCGTGATTGTGGAGCAATTGGTGGAACGAAGATTGGGAGGGGAACCCAAAGTACTCGGAGAAAACCTGCTCCAGCGCCACTTTGTCCACCACAAATCCTACTTGACCAGACCCGGGATCGAACCCGGGCCGCCACGGTGGGAAGCCAGCGACTAACCGCTTGAGCTATGGCGCGGCCCAATTGTGCAGTTACTCAAGAACTTCCCAACATTTCATGGGACCCGAAGGTTCATTACCATGTTCACAAGAGCCCTCCATTAATTCCTAATCTGAGCCAGATCAGTTCAGTCCATACCATTCCATACTATCTCTGATAGATTCATTTTAATATTATCCACCCACCTACGTCTAGTTCTTCCTAGTATTATCTTTCTTTCTGTCTCTCCCAGTGCTTTCTGGCTTCACGTCTTAAATTGTTCAGATTATCCCGAATTATTTCAATTAGGTTATGTAACCAAAGCAATTTGGCTTGTTCCCTTCGATCTAGTAACTCTGATAATCCTTCGTCTGACCATGGCTTATGCTTCTTCAATTCATAAAAACCTAGACTCTCTTTGGCTGAAATTTGATATTCTCACTCATAGTTTCCCAAGCTCTATTAATATCCAGCTCAGCGTCTAAGTTTTGCATAGCCGCGAATCTATTTGAGATTTCAACACGATACTTCGTTTTGAACCAGCATTAATTAACGAATACAACAATCGTTCAGGCATAGCGCCCTCCTGGCGTTTATCTTCAGTCTGCATTGAGGAGGATCCAGTCGGAAGGCAGCACCAGCTAAATCCTACGCTGGCATCAGAACAAGCGGCCACATTACGAACATTCAACTCGTGTAACCAGCGTCGACTAAATTTTCGTCTACGAATGAACAAAAAAAAAACCTTAGCTAAGTCTGGGCTGTACATTTTTTACGTGGGCGATCTCTTGGTAGCCCTGTGCATTCAGAAACAAAATTTGAAGAATGTAGACTTTCGAGGAAGTTTTGTTTCTCTCAACCATCTTATGACTAGTGTGTTTTTATAAATAACGCATTATATTTTTGGCACGAGCAAAGTAAGACGCATTTTGTTACGGAAACCTCTAGGGACCTCTGCATCTTTTTTACCTGACCGATGGCTAGAAATCACATCGTACCCAGTAGTTACTGCAAAACGTCACATCGAAACGGATTTCCATGGTTTCCTTCTGTCCTCTAACAAATGTTGAGATAGGCCGTGCCATAGCTCAGGCGGTTAGTCGCTGGCTTCCCAGCGCGGCGGCGCGGGTTCGATCCCGGATCGGATCATGTGGAATTTGTCCTGGACAAAGTGGCACTGGGTCAGATTTTTCTCCGAGTACTTCGATTTCCCCTGCCAATTCGTATTCCACCGATTGCTCCATAATCATAATCATCTATCATCTGTGGTTGGTACAATAGGCCAAACAGGGGCCGCAGTACTAAATGGACTCAGTCTCACCGCACGAGAAAAGAAAGCAATAAGAAAAACACTGAGAAGGCTCCAAAGTTCCAGCTCGCTACTACATGGTTCTTTTATTATCCATCTGAATTAGTTCAAAATAAATTAATTGCTCCGAAGACTCTTAAATTATGTTTGTAAATAACTATTTTTCTATAATGGTTCACAAAACTTGCTGTCTAATGTGGTAAAAATATTTGTTTCTTGAACTGGTATAGCTAGTTGTGGGCTCTATGTATGCCCTTATTTTCAATTTCTATTTCTGCTTAAAAGTTTTATAAATATTCGTCACTTTATTTTGACAAATATGTTCCTTCAAAATGTCGGAATAACACGAGCGTGTACGAAGAAACCAGATTTAGGTATGAATTTGGTCCAAATTTTGAGAGTTTTTGCTTTCTTTCTTCCATGTTGTTAATAATACCAGTGACTTTCCTCTTGCTAGTCAAATGAAGAAGTGTTCAGAGGTAAAATATAACTACAAACACGACACCAAACCAGAATAAAGAACAAAACCATAATACAGCTATATGTGGTAAACAATTTGATGTTTATGTGAGCTACAGTAAACAATATATTACATTGTAAGTTTTGAGGTTTTCACGGCGCCTAAACCCAGAAGACGACTTTCTTCAGTATATTACATTACTGCTTAACTTATACGGGTAAGCTAGTGTTAGGATGATAAAACGTAGGTGGTTATGTTGGTCTGGACAAGCAGTTGCTAGGGCGAGGAGAGGTGAATACAACATTTTAGTGGAGAAAACTCCGAAAAAACTCCTCTTGGAAGGCCGGGATGGAGATGGAGGATAACATTAAAATGACTCTTAGGGACGTAGGAAAGGAGACTGTAATAACTAGCTTAGAGTCATGTTCAAAGACTGGTTCTGGTATCACTAGAAAAAAGGAAGCTATTTCTTACTCCGCAGCCAGCAAATATCGAATTAGAGCTGATGCCACCAAATTAGAAGCCTAGGATGTGATAATGTGCTGCCTGGTCAGGGCTATCGCACACCGCAGAGTGCAATGAGAGAGGACTAGAAGTAATGGTGGTAGTTAATGAATGAATCTCCTTCGCAGTGTCAGCGTTAACGCTTTATTAAGTTTAAATGTGCTTACGGCAAAATTTTACTTCAGAATCTATGATGCAGATTATAACTTTTAACGTCATTTCTGTTTTAGATGATACTAAAAACAAGACTGATTAGTTTTCATTCAAGGAAGTAATTATAGTTGGGAATGTGGTACAATTTCCATTGAATGGCAAGCGCGTGAAGGGGGAGGGGGAATAGTTATAGCACCTGCCGTGTGGTGGCTCTGAATGGGCACGAGCTACAAGCGAGCAGAAAATGTGGAGTGGGGGCCGATGTATGGCGGGGCTAGACCTAGAGTGAGTAGTGAGTTGCGGGTTAGAGTGGCCACACGGATGAACAAGTGATATGTGTGCGTTAAATACAACTGTTGTCGTAATCATAAATATTGATACTCATTGCCTTAATTATTTTAATTATTGTGTATTAAGTAATGCTGGTGAGATTATAGTGAGTGAAGCTTAAATTTGTTCGTTTCGAAATTTTGGCGGGAGATGACGCTTTTCTTATTTATCCCGATGAAACAGTGGTGAAATTGAAAATCTGTGTGAATTTCATATTCTACACGTAGGATTTTCTTATATGGATATTATCTTCAAAGATCGAGGTAAGCTGCTACGTCATTTGTAATTAATGAACCATAGCGTATTATTGTGAGTTTACCGAACCGTGAAGAAACACAGAATCGCCGGGTTTTTAGACTTTGTTCATCATCCAGTATTTTAGAAACTAGAAAACAACATTTCGGAAAATGGATCTGTTTCCGTCGTCAAGTGAGAGGAGTGGGGGGAAGACACCTACTCAGTTGGGTCCCTTAGAAAGAGCTAACCTCAATTACTGGACGACCCCAGTTGTGTTTTCTAGTTTATAGACTACCGGACGATGAACAAATTTCGAAAACCAAGTAATTCTGAATATCATACACCATCGTCAGAATCCTTTATAGTCGTAAAGAGCCAATTTCGCATTTTGATATTTAATTAGTTTAATATGTATGTGTTACAGCTTTCCATTTTTAATGCATGTCTCTTGTCAGCTTCATTCACCCACTCACATTCTTATCTGACTATTTTATATTTTATTTCTGTATCTCTCCTGTTCTCTTATGTATAACATGCAAGTTCCCCCAAAATCTGAATAAAATTCATAGTTACAGGCTAGTAATTACATGAAGAAAGCAGTCTTTTGGGATTTGGCACCGTGTATATGTGGTGTTATCACCGCCGTGAAAGCCTCAAATCTTACATAGTAATTACATGCTTACAAGTCACATATTAGTAAAACTTGTTTCGGTCGAAGAGTTGATTGTAGTTATAGCAATTTTTTGTATAGAAATCCCTCTTAAAAAGATCAAAGGGGGCAAACAAGCAAATGCAACTGTCTTCTCTGTATCTTGAAAACACAGATGTTAAGGATGTTCATGAGTTTCAATTTCAGCAGTTAATTTATTGTAAATATTTTAGAAATTCTTACATAGTGACGGTAGTCATACGGAGAAAATTTGCGTAGGGGTAATGCCTAAATTTTGGGGAGGGGGGAAGTTTTGGGTTCAAATCTCCTCTGGGACACGGGCTATCCTGGCTAAGGTTTTTCTTGCTTTTTCTCAGTCTCTCAGAGAAAATGTGGGAATAGTACCACAATTATGCTACGACTACGACCATTCGAATTCTTCTCGATTCATTATTGCCCAATCATCCTATCATTTGGCTGTATATAATCCGAGACACAGGCGTCATCTTAAAGTGAATAACAAAATCACAGAAGTCATCACTTTCATATTCTACAAAATAATTGGAATCTCGCCGAAGGTTTAGTGGACATTAAACCAGCGATTCTGAACTTAGGCCTCTTGTGTTACTTTATCAAAATACGTATAGAAGACAGCAGTCCACAATAACAATCGAAAGGGTTTTTTTCCCTTCAGCGTATATATTGTAATCGTGTTTACATTTGGTACCATAACAATCAATAATGGAAGTTCGTATTTTCGGGGACCTTAGGTACGACCCAAACCGCCGGTTAAGCCTCTTCAGTGGTATGTCCCACTGGCACAGAATAGACGATATGAGTTGTGGTCTTGAACCGTTAGGGATTCTGGAACTGTTTTAATGTACCGAAAATACAATACAATATCACACTATATTAAACTAATACATACTACAATATCGTAGGCCCATAAGAGGGAACCAAAATAACCCCGTAACATCAGTGACCACGGGCTTGACACTAACATAAGCATTTCTTTCATCGTATCTAACATTAGATATTATCCGAAACTCATCAGTCAGTGTAAAACTACGGCCTAAATATATATATTTTTAATCCATATTCATTTTTGCTCCTAGCCTGATGACATAGGAGTCTGGATTCGATTCCTAACAGGGAAAGCCATTTATCTTTTTTATAGCGTCCGAAAAATTCTGGGGAACCACCAGCACGTTGCTCACGACACAGTGTTACGTCACTCATACACCACTTCAAAGTGACGCCTAAAGCCGGCTCTAAGGGCGAGGACACACCGGAAACTGGCAATCTCAATGCAACCGAAATTTCCGAGAATTGTTATCAGCCTGAGTTGAACAGATGTTACTGAATTGATCAGAGCAAATTAAAGAAACTGCACTGTCGTTTCCTCAATTTGCGCTGCTCCGTTCAGTAACATATGTTCAACTCATACTGATAACAATTTTCGGTAGCCCGGGCTCGATTCCGGGTCTGGTCAATTGGAATTTGTGGTGGATAAAGTGGCGCTGGAGCGGGTTTTCTCCGAGTACTTCGGTTTTCCCTGCCAATCTTCATTCCACCAAATTCTGCATCATCATAATCACCCGTGGCAGGCTACAATAGGTCAATCAGTGGCCGCAGGGCCGAGTGGACCCAGCTGGACTCCACCCCCCCACTAAGCGAATTAAAAAAAAAATAAACGACAGAATTTCAGCGAAATTTCTCTCCCCATCATCAGGACTATCCCAGAAACGTCTGCCACTGTTAACCAACTGACGTGGTTGATAAACCGGAAGGAATTCATTAGAGAAGGCACATTTTGCATGGGATCCGGCAAATCAATTTTATGAATTATATTTAAGGAAAAGCAATACCTGGGAAGACGTCGGACAACCGTCTGGCTATGAAGCGTCGAACGCCAAGGGTGAAAACAAGGGACACTGAGAAGGAAAAGTCTGGAGCGAGTGCGGAAGAAACGCGTAAGTCAGCATCAGTCAAGCTTCAGCTGCGTTTACAGAGGTGGGCGCAACATCGGACTTGGGCGAAAGCGAACTTTCCTTTTAGAATAGACGAGTCATCTAACACTGGGCAGAACATTCTGAAAAATTTGCACATTCGTATACTTCAGTTTTCGTTTATGCAGCGTATAGTTTTCTTTTTTTTTATTGTTAGTGGGGTGGGACTAAGTCCCTTGTACTGCGGCCACTTCTGGCCTATTGTACCAGCCCCAGATGATAGCTGAGGGTGATTGTGGAGCAATTGGTGGTATGAAGATTGGCAGGGGAAACCGAAGTACTCGGAGAAAATCTGCCTCAGCGCCACTTTGTCCACCACAAATCCCACTTGACCAGACTCGGGATCGAACCCGGACCGCCGCGATGGGAAGCCAGCGACTAACCGCTTGAGCTATGGCGCGGCCCTAGCGTATAGTCAGAATGCATCAAACAAGGGTGTTTCGGACAGTTTTTGAAACTAAGTCAGAAGGTAGAAGAGAAGTTGGAAGGCCAGGTCTCAGATGACTGGAAGTTGCAGAGAATGATATAAGAGAGCTGAAGGTGAATAGCTGGAGGCGGAAAGAAAATAATAGAGAAGAATGGACTTATGTCGTAACTTTTTAATTTCTTATGGTGAGATATGATTGCGTCCATTTGGTATGACGCCTTTATTTGGTCTATTGTACCAATCCCAGATGATAGAGGATGATGAATATGGAGCAGTCGGTGGAATGAGAATTGGCAGGGGAAAGCGAAATACTAGGAGAAAACCTGCCCCAGCGCCACATTGTCCACCACAAATTCCACATGACCTGACCTGAGATCGAAACCAGGCCGTCGCTGTGGGAAGCCGGCGACTAACCGCCTCAGCTATGGCACGGCCTCTAAGGACGCCAAGGTTCCTAGGGGGCATTGCAGCCGAGGAGTAAGTATGGGTGAATGATAAATGTTGAACTGGGGAGCTAAGAGCGAACAGAAGAGGTCCAATGAAGGATGAATTGTCCAGTAAGGCTGGAACCGGATATAGGCCCTACTGCCTGTTGCGCAGAGCGCGGGGGAGGAAAGAGATATCTTAAACTTACTATTTTACGGTATATTCAGTTTGTTTCTACACTTACGAAGCCTAAGTTGGCGTTCTCGGTCAGGCGGCATCTTTCTGTTGGTCTTCGTGTTCCAAGCCAAGTCTTGGTCTCGAGTATTTATATCGAAATGGCAACCATCGCTATCCTACCTATCATCTGTGATGCTTGGTTCAGGGCAACAGGAGTTACACCCACCCAATAAATTTAAACTTTAACAAGAAATTCTGGTACGCGGATCGTAATTTGGCGTGATTTATAGGTTCCGGCCTGTGCACACGAAACAACATATCGAAACGAAGCTGGACCTAGTACAAGCAGAGTGGATCGCAGGGGCCGCCAAACCCGAGTATCGGGTATGACCATCTCTGTCATTAGGCAAGGGCCCAGTTTCGAGTGTACAGCGTGTCCACATCCTATATTTGCTATTGTGCATAGTATATCAGTGATTTGTTACAGGCTACTAAAAGTACACATGGCTTCAAAAGCTATTAGCAATCCTGATACTCATATACAGATTTTGTTCACGTTATCACAGCCTTCAACAACTTCCTTTGATAATAATAGCCACGATTTATAAGCTCTCGCAGAATATTGAAGGAACTGATAGTTTTTCTCAAAGAATAATGTTTCAGACTTGTATTAGGGAGGTTCCAGGTTCAAATGTCGGCCAGGTCTCCCAACACTTGACTGAGATCTTCCTCAGAGCCTGAAAGGAAATTACATGAAGAGTTACACCATGACAGCATCCTTCCACATTCTTCATCGTTCAATATTCATGCTAACATTCGGGTTTACAGAATATGAGATACTCACAAAGTCGTCAAAGAAATCAATATTAATTAATTAAGACTACAAAATATAAATATGTTTATACAGTGTTATTAGGGCGTCTATGAAATTAAATATGCACAACAACAGAATATCAAAACTTGAATCGTATATCTGTAAGATCCATTTCAATATGACATTCCCACCTACACCTACCCATCTTAACTGTGGGCTTCCTACACTTAGTATTCTTTTTGGTTGTATGTCAGAAATTTCTTCGCAATCCGCTGGTTTTCCATTCTAATCTGTATTTTAGAATTGTTCCTCTCCTAGTATTTTTATATTAAAACGAAAAATAAATGTTGCATAACGAGGCATTTTGATGTTCGTGCGTGATTAATCGTTGGCTGTATGAGCCACGCAGAACCCTGGCCTCCTGTATGACAAATGCCTATTCTGCTCTGTTATTTACCTTTTTCCTTTATCTCTTTAATTTCCACTGTAGGAAATTAGTCTCTACTTCTTCCAGCTACCTCATT